CTGTCCGTGTGGCAGCTGGGAGCAGAGACGCCGCGCATTCATAGAGTGTCATTTATGTTATCTGCGTGCAGCCTTGGTTTCCATGTAGGAAGAGAGCCATGAGCATGAGCGAGAGAGCTGTGAACAGTCCGCGGAGAAACCAGAAACAGACCGAGTCTGCCTGTCTGTCCGCCTGTCTGTCCAACAGGAGGCAGCCAGGGTGTGTGTCTGTCTGGAGGTAGCGCCCCCGCCCCACCCCCACACTCACCAGGCCAGCTCCCGATCAGCCGCATGTTTTGGTGTCTCTTTGTCTTTCTGGCAGGCCAACAGGGAATTCTAAGGCACATTCTAGGTTCTGAGTCTCTTAAATGGCTGTTGCGAGCTTCAGGAGGAGCTAACCTCCTATCATAGCAAACTATTGATGACTACAAACATCGAATTTGTTCATTAATCACTAACTGATACAATGCCAAGCATGGAGCCCTGCCCTCGAGAAATTAGAGTCCACGGGGAAGACACATATGACTAAATGTCACTCGGCACAGGAAGTGATAATAGAGCTCTGACCATCATGGGGGGCGCACGGGGAGGGGGCACTTGCCCAGGGTGTTGGGTAAGACCTCAAAAATTAGACAAGGCTTGAAACTCTGCCTGGAAGGATGAGTGGGATTTGCCAGGAAGAACAGGAAAAAAGAGTCTGGGCAGAGCGGGTGCTGACGGTCGCCACTCGCAGCCTCGGCGTCATTTCATTGGCCGATGCCGCTGCTCACGCTGCTGTCTGGACTTTCTTCCTGCTGCGGCAGCCTTGAATTGGAGAGTTGGTTTTTACTAAACGCACTCACTGCTTTCAGGGCGGGGTGCTGTTGGCGGCATTGGGGTGTTGGCGTCTATCTACGGCCGGGGAGGGGGTGTCTCTTTCCTCTCTGAGGGGCCACAGACCCTTTGGAAAGTCCTTTCAGAAATGGTGGCTTATCCAAATTTCCTTCCGCAAAATCGCAGCTCTCTCAGACTTTGCGGAATCCGGCATCATCGCCGTGGGGAACTTGCTTGTTGTATAGACTGAGATCTGCGTAACGCTCAGTGCTGGTGGTTTTGTTTGGGGTGTTTGGACATATTTACATTTTTGCTTAGAAAAGCATTTTCCTGAACTGTGACTACAAACTGTGAATTCACTGGGAAACAGCTCTTCAGAATTTTGGCAAGGTTCTCGCGTGCACTGCAGGCTCCGTTTGAATGTCTCTGGGGTTGGTTTGTCTGGGGAGCACGTACATTCTTATTGATCACACATCGATGACAACGATAACAAGTTAACCGTCGTAGGTGCCTTTTCCATGAAAGTGCTAACGTGATAGAAAGAGGCTCCGTTCAACTTCTGTTCTATGCATCCTACTTAAGCAAGAGAAACAGTTTTCTTTAAGAATCAGATATTTCATACCAGTCTATTGAAACCTGCTGCAGAAGAAGCTGATTCCCACCCGCCATCCCTACCTCACCGCCCCTTCTAGACTCTTTTTTTCCCTTAGATCAGCTTATTGGCTTAGTTCGATTTCAATTATAACAACATTAATTGCCACTAGCATTATACACCCTCCCATACCTCTCGCGATGGGCCAGGTAACATTCTATGCACATTATGAGTATCTGGGTATTTGTTACTTGCACTAACTCTCCGCAGTAACACCGCTCCTCTGTGGTCTGAACGAGGAGGTAGAACACAGATGTTAGTAACAAGCTCAAGGTCTGGGTAGCCGATGGCTCTGGGAGAGGAATCCAGATGGTCTAGCTGCGCGGATGGCCCCTTCGACGCTCTGTTACATTTTTTACAACCATCCTAATACACATGCTTTCTGGTCACAGTGTCCCAGCGGGGGTTTGTTTGAGGGCACAAGGGACTCCATGCCCTTAAAGCGCCTCTCATCTTAAACTGAAGTGACAACTAGGGTCCCTTTGCATACTCTGTCCACCTACAAGGGGGTAGTGGTGACTTCTTGCTGGCACTTCTAGACTTCATTTGGGTGCTAACATAGAGGGAAAAAACCAAGCCCGAGCCCTTTCATCCCTCTGCATGTCTGCAGAGCGCATAGCTGCGTGCTCCGGCGCCGTCGGAATGAGCGGGCAGCGCGTGGCGGCATTGCCGTGGTGTAGTTTCTGGTCACACACAGGGTCCCGACAGGGAGAGAGGAGGACCCACATGTCCTGGGTCACACCGTTTCTGTGCGAGGACCTGTATGAATGGAAAAAGCATTTTAGGAGATGCACGTGTGTGAAATAGCCTGCTGCTCAGCGGCTGAGAAGGCCGTCCTGGGAGGAGTCATTCCTGGGACAGGGACAGGGACGGGGACAGGGACAGGGACAGACCCTTTCCTGTGGAGGTGAGCCCTGCCCTGGAGGCCCCTCTGCCTGAGCTGAGGCGAGGACGTGGCCCCAGAACTGTATCTGAACGTGAGACGAGGCGAGTCACAGAGGACCTAGGGCGCGGGGCGGGCGGGCGCTCCCCGCGGTGTTCGGAGCTCGGCGCGGCGCGGCGCGGGCTGCTGACCGGCTCGAGAGACACGGCAGCGGGGGATGGGGACGCTGAGCACTGAGACCGGCCTGGTGGGAGGCATGAAACTCACCGCGAAAGCGCCCGCAGAGGCCATTCGGTCCAACACCGGTTTGTCTGTTAAAACACTTAAAAACGTATTGCTATCAGGCCAGAGAGACCGAGGGAGCTGAACTGGGACAGAGAGAGTTTGGGGCGCAGCCAGGGCCAGCCCTACCTGCTGTGGGCACCCCATCTCCATCCCTGTCTTCTGGGCTGGTCGCTTCTCTGTGCCGAGAGAAGCCCTGTATGATTTTCGTGTGTTCAATACATAACACGTAAGGTCTGAAAACTTAGCCTGCCTCCTGGGTAAGCCCAGGAGTGTGTTGTTATCTTGGGTGTCCCAGGCAGCACAGCCAAGCTTCTTCCATCCAGAAAACCGACACCTTGATGCTTTTTGTGAGATTAGGTATTTAACATATTTGTCAAGAGATATTTAAGGTAAACCCCAAGGCTGCGTTTTGTAGGGTTATCTTTTCAGAAGTAAAGTTTTACTCATGGTTTTGCATGTCCCACTCTGTAGGACAGAGTGTTAAGAGTTCTCCAAGTCTGCGATGAGGTGGGAGTTCTTCAGGCTGTCTTCATTCTCCTTGTGCCCCAACCAAACCTGCCATCGAGGACAGTGTCCCTAGGAAAGCTGGACCCCCTCTGGTCATTGACTGGAGACTTCACTGTCTTTCTGGAGAACGGAGAAACCTGTCACAGAAAACCAGTAAACCGACCGGGTTGGTTTTCTTGCCCCGCCCCCAATTAAAAACACAGAGAAACAAAAAGAATTAAAAATTTCGCCCACTTGCCTAATGTGAATATAAAAAGGAATATCGCTGAGATTTAAATGATACGATAGGAATTTTAACTTGGCCTGCTCAAGGGAAACCCAAACAAGCTAAATCCGGGACAATCTCAAACGAAAATTAGTTAGACTCATTTCAGTTTGTATTTGAAACTGAGTATATGGATAGTTTGGTAACAATTAAAGTTTACTCATTAAATTTCGTCAGGACGGGAGTTAAAGTGTGTCTGCCAGTATTACTGGGAAACAGGAGCGCTCAGGGTTCTCAGGGCCGTCAACACGGAGACGTTCGGGGGGCAGCGGGGTAAGCGACGGGCGGGCGGACGCGTTGTGCAACACAGGGCTCGGTGCTGCTACTCTCACTGAAGTCACTGCTAGCAAAGTCCTGATGCTGGCTTCCCAGTTTGCAAAATGGGACACCAATACCACCCTCCTCGATGGGATTGGAGCGATGTATGCTTTGCCCTCGGAGTGCCTGGTACTTAACGTGAATTTGGTTGTTCTTGTCCAGGGGTCTGGGTTAAGGCACATTGTCCTCATCAGCCTGGGGGCTTCTACTCCGGAGCACTGCAGCCGAGAGGCGTATAAATCACAGAATTTATTTCTCATGGTCCTGGAGGCCGGAAGTCCAAGGCCAGGGTGCCAGCAGGGTCAGGTTGCAGTGAGGACCCCCTTCCAGGGCGGAGACAGCCGACTTTTCCGTGCGTCCCCACGGAGTGGGTGGTGAGCGGCCAGCTCCCTGGCCGCGCTGTGCAGGGGTGCCCGCCCCACATACAAGGGCTCCAGCCTCCTGACCCAGCACCTCCTGGAAGCCCCACCGGCAAATACCATCGCTGCAGAGATTAGACTCCATGTACGCATTCTGAAGGACGAACGTTCCGCTGGTAACACGTACTGACCTACTATAGCACCTGGGATGTTTTTAAACTTAAACGTCTCTGTGAGCAGCTAATTTAATTATCATTTACTTTTGAACTTTAAAAATCATATTTGAAAGAGAAGATTATCTTGTTATTTGAGGTTGGGAAGAGATGATAGTTATATAACCTATTACTTTCTATCTATGTGTCTACCTCCCTCCCTCCCTCCCCATCATCCATCCATCCATCCATCCATCCATCCATCCTTTCTCTTTCTATGAAGTTCTTAGCATGCTTCTTTGAACTAGTGGTAGCATATTACTGGTTTCCTCATTGATTAATGAGTTAAATAAAATCTTCGACATCTGTTCCCTTTCTATGTGCATGAGAGTCATGATTATGCCCCCTTTTAAAAACGATCTCTTAACAGCTACAAATGAGAACACATTTTTCTAACTTGATCAAAAAGAGTAGACATTAAAAAAAAAACCCCAAAACTCACACCCACAAAAAGTAGCCGGGCCCATGTTTTTTGTCAAGTGTCAAAAAATATGTTCCTCTGCTTTCTTGATTTCTCCTAAGTTCAATGACAAGGTCATACCTGTCACCAGAAAAGGGGTAACAACTTTGTGTTTGTTTGCTTTGAAATTCAGTGCTAATGTGTGAATTATGTCATATTGGAATCTGCAAATGTCTAGTAAATTTAAGGTTTACCTTCCAAATTTCTTAATACAAACAGGAGGCCACAAGCAAGCAGGCAGCACGCATAGCTCTTTAATCGGACAGTAGGTCACACCTTTAGTCTGTGGCTCTGTAGTTGGTGTGGATTTCTGGTTTCACATCGCAGACCATGTTCAGAACCTGTGTCAGCACACGTTCCGCGCACGTGTTGTAGCTCCTCCTCAGGTCTTTTATCTTCTCTAGAGCCTGCTCTTCAATTCCTTCTGAGATGCTGCTCTGAGAGCCCATCACCTACCGACAGAAAACAGAATACACCGCGCCACACGTCACATCAAACGGTCATGGTTTTACAAGTGAGCAATTTTTTGGCCTATTTCTCTATAATTGTTCTATGGCGTATGCATTAGGTGTTGTTTTTTCCAGACTCTTCTCGCAAAATGGGTAAGATCGTTAGTGTCAGGAGTGGGACGGAATCACTTTCCCAGAAAGGGAGGCTGGCTTGGCCGGTCGCTGCTGCTTCTGAGCGGACCGTCCCACGGTCCGACGGAAATCAGGCTCACGGCCTTCACGCCGTGCTAGGGAGGGTTTTCACCACACTTTCTGTGCATTTATAGTAGGTTCCACTCAGTTTGTGCATCTTCCCTAGTGCTTACCAAACCAGAGGAGTCCCACAGTTTAAGGAACCCCGCAGCATAGGCCTTGGCAATGTTACCCTTTACCAGAGCGAACAGCCCACCTCGGCTGTGCCTCCGTTGTGAATTCAGCCTTCCTTCAACGTGGCTTGTTTATGTGACAGAGTTTTGTGTGTGTGTTGGTTTTTTTCTTCTGTGAGTGTTTAGGGAAGGTACGCACTGCATTTCATGCAAGAGACCACTCGCGCCTGAGACCCCCTCCAGGGTTGCCGGACTCCCCTAAATTCTAGAATCTGCATCATCTCTCTGGTCCTCAATTTGAAATCAAATGCAATAAAGACTATGGGGTTCAAGTTAATTTCTGTTTCTATCTTAGGAAACAAGGGCTCCCCAGGGCAAAGAAAATCATTTCAAGGAGGTATAGCTTCTAAGACATCTGTATAAAAATCATTGCGTTCTTATTTTTGTATGATACACACTACACTAAGTCTTTGTAATCCGGTGTGTGGTTTTTGCCTGCGGAACATCTTCATCGGGCTTAGTGACGTCTCCAGGACTCAGCAGCTGCGGGGGAAGCGGCCCCACGTTTCGGCGGTACAGATCTGGGGCGGCAGGTGCCAGCTGCCGGTGTTCGTCACGGTGGTCATATGCTGTGCTAAGACAACACGGTTGTTTTCTGAAGGTGATTATTGTAAAGACGGTGCTCGGCACAGGAGCTTGGCCCTGGGCGAGTAATCAGCAAGTGTTAGTGGAAACTCTGATTTTTCACTGTGTTGCTTGCACACTTTAATTTTTGTGATCCATTCACACCATCAGAAACACTGGGGCGCCCTTGTAAGTAGCCTGTCGTTTTATGTCCTATTCTGCACAAATAGAATATTATTTCTGAGCCGAGTTGGCGCGCAGTCACGTGTGCACGTGCAGTGCTCCCTGGACACATGCCCGTGCGCGCCACGCAGCGGCCTTCCTGGGGGGGCGTCCCAGGCCCTCGCGGCTGCAGGGGGTGTGGCTTCAGCCACGCGAGAGATTACACGAGTGACCGTAGGCGCCACCAGGCCCCCGCACCGTCTGGCACTCGCCAGGTGCTCAGCGCCTGTTGCTCACACTGAATAGAGTGGGCAGGTCTCCCACATCCCTGAGAACGTATTGCCTGCGCCCGTCGCTCTCGTTGGCAGACGCCCCTGCCTGAATGTTTGGGACACGAAATAAACGAAAGGCTGAGAAGCAGGTGGCAGGTAATGGTACACGTGACCCAAGGGCGCCGGCAAAGGACTTCTCCATGTTAATTTTCAAATCGTCAAATGCGGAGGCTGCTGCGTGTGGCTCTGCACTATCGCGGCTGACCGGTGGCTTTGGGGTGACACTTCCACGTTCAAGAAGTTCCCTTTAAGTTGCTCCAATGTCCCAGTTTACAAGAAAGCAGAGGTTCAGGTCCCACACACTGTTTTGCATCCTCAATATACGGCCGCTTCAGAGAAACCAAGTGCACTCATGGTATAAATTCAGAAAGAAAAATTAAAGATATAAAAAAATCTTCAGTATACCCAAGGGGACCATTTTCAGAGTGCTTAGATTCACGATTCATTTAACTTTTATTGCATCAACGATAGATTTAATTTTCCCACCAGTGTCCAGGGTTCTGTTTAGCTGTGTCCTACCTTCTACATGTTGGGTAGACCTGATAAGCAAGAGATAAGTAAATCTTTGACACAACAATATTTGTTGATGTTCCACATTGGGATATCTGATTCTATTGATGTTTCAGGGGACTTAACAAAACATACAATATCAGGAGCTAAAAAGGAACCAAAAAAGTAAAATCCAGATGCAACCCCATAACAGGCAGAAAGCGGCTTCTTGGGTCCCCTCCTACACCCGCTTGCCCTGGGTCAATGATGGCGAGATTTCAGCGAGCAGCGGGGACCCCAACATGAAGAGGTCAAGGCCGAGGGGAAGGTACGCGCTGATGGCCTGGCAGGGCGCCGACGTGGCCCCGCCTGAGCGCGTGGAGCTTCCTGCGTGAGCTTTTGATCGACTAGCTGTGAGATCGGCTCAGAGCTCTAATGAGGAGAGCGACGAGGAGCTTTAATCATTCTCCCGTGCAGAGAACAAGTATCTTAAACCAGGTTTCCATCTTACGAGATTCTTCTGGAGGCAAACTGTTTCGAGATTTCACAGGACCGCTTTTTAAAACGATGGTCCATTTTGTTATTACTTGAAAAAGAAAGGAAAGGCTGTATCAAAAATCCCGCCCCCCGCCCCCAGGACACTGAAGGTCAACAGCCATCCAGGGTGGCCGCTCCCTCCGGCCCGGCCGCCGCGGCCGTGGCGGGGCCCAGTAGGAAGGTGAGAGCGCCGGAGAAGCGCTTAGCTTTTTCATTCTTCAATGAGTGTTTATCGTGTGTGTACTCTTGACAAACACTCTTCCGATACTGAGGAAAACAGAGAACAAAACAAACCAAGGACCTGCCGTTGGGGGCTTGCAGTCCGGAAGGAAAAATAGAAAATCCACGAAAATCGTAAACCTCTCCTGTACCGAGTAGCGATAAACGCTGTGACTCTGGTGGAGGAGTCGGTGTCTTTTGTAGCGGCCGAAGCGCAGTGAGGCAAGGTGACCGGGAGCAGGAGCCGGTCACTGAACAGAGCTGAGGGGGAGGGGCTGGGCCTAGGAGGACGGGGGTCCACGGAGCAGAGGCGGCCCACGCAAAGGCCCCGTGGTCGCGGCGGGCGCGGGTCTTTTGAGGAAGCCCAGGGAGACGCGTATGGTTAGAACCGAACAAGTGGAGACACAGATGTGCAATGTGTGACAAGCGAGCACAGTAGATATGGTTGCAAACGACCAAAAAGTCTTCTCTTTCTTTACGATTTTCTTTTCCGCTGCCTGGGTTCATTCCGTAAACCTTTCGTGAAAGCATAAGGACATGCTTTTCCCTACACGAGCACGTAAAACATATCGTCAGTTTAGGATAAAAGGCAAATGCATGACGTTTTCAGGGCCAGCGGGTTGGAGAGGGAGACAAGAGCCACACGAGGGTGGCCGGCCTTCGGACCCCTCTTTACAAATATTGGAAAAAAAAGAATTTCTTTTCATTGAGTGGCCCACTTTATTCTAGGAAAGCCTTTTTATTTCAAGAACAGCGCATTGGAAAAAAATTCCCTCCCCTGGCTTCAATGTACCTGTTTCTACGCCTCCCACACCTACTCCCACTAAAATCAAAGTTGTAAACGAAGAGCTTTTTCAAGCCGCCTGAAGTCCATCTTGCAGAGTCAGCCTCCGGAACAGAGCTTCACTGATATCTTTTACTGAAGCCAAAAGAAAATAGCATATAAACTCTAGCTCTGGCACATGAGATTTAATCATTTCTTTTAGTCAACGTTGCAACATGGAAGGAAGATGTCAACTAGGAAAAATTTTATGCACTTATTTTTTTTATTGTAAACTGCAGGTATTTTAAAAATGCTAGTGTAAGGAAAAGCATTTCTTTATAGTCTGAGGAAAAATTTGTTGAATGACCCCAGCCAATTGAAAAGCAAATCATAAGGAAATTTGCAACAATGTGCACTTCGGTAGTTTGTCTATCTTGAATTCACTAAAGGAAATTGGGCCCAACAAACTCATTGTGCACCATGGGAGAACACTTAGTATTGATTCTACTAGTAGACACTAAGAGTCAAAAATATGTTTTCTCAAGTGTTTTTCCTAACAAAACTGTGCTAGTCAATACTTTGTAGTCTGGAATCATGTTTGAAGCAATCTCTTTGATTTTGTATCTGAGGGTATAATCGTTCATACATACTATGCATAAAATAATAACTACTGATCGACACTCCAGATGGCCAATCAAAAATCCTTGAAATGGGAAGTAAAAACTCGTTACAGTTTAAGATTTAGTTTGTTGTTCAGTCTTGACCGGACTATGGCCACTCCAGCCAGCGCAGCTGCTGTATCACAGCCTATTAATATCTGTTCGTGTCTTATGATCTGTGCTGGATAAACCCAGTGCTGACTTTCTTCCTTACCTTAGCTTGTTTCATTCGAAACTCCTTGTCCTTCTGCATCCTGTGCTGGTCGATCTCCACCATCGCCTCCTCCTTAGCTTGCTTTATTCGCTTTGCTTTTCCTGAAAATTAACGGGGGCAGAGACGAGGTGATATTTCCTTTTCATAGACGTGGGATTTCACGCTTGATTTTTAAACACACAAGATGAGGCCAGCATTGTTTTTGATGATTTATTTTTTCTCTTGAACAGCAATATTGAGAAATTCCGTATCTTTTTCCACTGGACCCTTGAGAACCTGGGAGGGACAGTGGCCTCTTGCCTGCTCATGTGTAAATGTAGCGTCTGCCCCGCTGCTGACGGCAGTGAAGGCCAGAGAACAGATTTCCGCTGTCACTTACCCGAAAAGACATTATTTGGTCAAATTTTCTGTCCTGGTTCGCTGCCAGGAACCCTTCAGTCCCCGCCAACTGGATCCTATTTAATGCTGGCGCGGCGCCAACCACCACAGCCACGCTGCTCACACTCTATCAAACCCGCTTACAATTCTTAAAAGCATTTTATTGGGATTTTTTTCTTGCTGTTCCTTGACTCTAGCATGTCTGATTAAGCCCCACAGCACATCAAAGTAGATCTTTTCTTTCTTTCTTTTTTTTTCTCGTAGCTTTCTCTGAGGGGGCTTGAAAGCGGTTGTAAAACCGATTGTTTTTAATGGTTGGGAGTGTAGTTAGGTAGCTCGCTCCTCTTTGATTAAGAGGAAAGGTGTAAGCCCGGGGCCTGCGTAAGGATGCAGATGAAAGTCAGACAAATAAATACTATGTTGCGGGGTCATTAGCTGCGCACAGGACTTTTTTTTTTGGACAACCCGAGGAAGTGGGGGTAGGGTTATAGACTAATATTAATTGCTTCTTGCCCCCCCCCACACCTTCAGGGGGTTAGGTACTAATGCTTTCTGATCATTAAAACTTTAAAGCAACTCTGAACTGTATTAAAAGGCTTTTCCTCTGAATCTATTGTCTCTGTTTCAGTTAAACGCCTTCCTTCTTTGGCCTATTTCACATAGTTCCTCTTCTCTGAGGACGTCTCTTAAGCTTTTGTTTATCACGTTTGTCCAGGGCTGCTCATAGAGTGTAGACTTCCAACTAAATACCTGTTTTCTGGTTGAGTAGCACAAAAGAAAATCTTAACATAAGCCTTCATCTGTCCTACAGGTACATGTTTCCCTATGTCTTTGTTTTTAAGAAACTTTGTAACATCTGTGCGGAGGCAGTTGTGGATTTTCCCTCCCTGCTAGGTGTGAGCTGCTTTGCTAATCGCCGCCTAAGACGTGGACTAATGGCTCAGTGACCAGCGTTCTCCTGATGCTTGAGCTTAAGGCGCATGACCAGACCTTTTTCCTTCTTCTCTAAGGCTCGTTACTGCTTTGCGGGTAGAGGACCCTTTATCCTCTACAACCCCAGCCACTCTGTGGGGACCAAATGAGCACAATTTCCTTCACAGAAGAAACAGATGAAGTGTTGATAGAAAAAACTGTTCCTGACCCCGGGCCCCTTTCTTACCGCGGCTTGTCATTGCATTAGGGACAACGACATATTTAAGACGCCGTAACATTTTCTGAGTAGTAGTGGGTTGTAGCACATGTAACTATTTTATGAAATAAATCACACCAAACATCATTCCTCTCCATGGCCATCCCACGATGTGTTGAAATTTGGTTCCGAAGTCACGACTCCAGCCCATACAAAGAAAAACAAGAACCGCAAGTGCCGCGGCCCCGCCCCGGTGCTCCACGTGGAAGCGGAATGTTAGCTCCATTCCACAGCGACAGGCTCCGAGTGTCTGTGACCGCCCCCCCCCCCCCCCCCGCTTCCTGTCCTGGCACCGGTCGCCTGCTGGGTCTCCTTCAATTAAATAGGAGAGTCCCCGGGACCTCGCTCTGGCCGGCGCTGTCTGGCCGGACTCGGAGCTGCCTCGGCGCGGGCCGCGAGCGCTCCGCGGATAACCCGCAGGGAGGACAGGGCCCCCGCCCACGGACCCGCCGGAGGCAGAGCGAGCGCACACAGTCGCGCAGGCTCATGAGCCTCGGGTTTGCTGCGCTGTCGCCGGCGAGGACCCCCAAGGTCTTGAAATCAGACCTTCCTTCTTAAGCAGGAAGAACAAAAGGGGCACCCCTTCCTCTTTCTCAATACCTTCTGCGTCACACGTAGGGATGGCCCATTGGATCAAAATTTAAATGTGACAATCAAATACATGGCCCCGACGTTCCTACGAGGTCATAAAGCTTCACTGCGCCAAATGTTCTGATTCTTGGTTTCGAATCTGTGCTCGTCTCACGCAGGGTAACTTTACAAACGGCACAAGCAGGTGCCGGGGTGGGGGCGCCCGCGGGGGAGGGGACGGTTCACTCATTCGGGATTCACCAGCATCAGCAGATGCTGCCCGTGGTGCTGGCGCTGGGGACCAAGGAGACAGACCCACGTGGGGCGGGGCCCTGCCGGCGTCTGACATCGACACAGGGCGCTTTGGAAACACGCTCGTGCCGCTACGGCTTCCAAGAAAAAAGTCTCAAAAGACACGGAATTGTGAAAACCACACAAAACCAATGATGCAAGCAATGGAACATGACTCTGTCTTGGTCCCGTGTGTCCTGTGACCGTTAAACATCGCCGCCTTGAGGGGAACTTCTGAAATTCTAGGCCCCCTCTGCACTCCCTCCAGCCCGGGAGCCGGGTGTTAGGGTCACAGGGTGAAGTCGGAAAGACAGATGAAGAGGCCCCGACGCGCAGGGCCGGGGGCCACCGCGGAGCAGAGGGCCATTAGGCTGGACGACTGGACCGATTAGCCAGGAAAACACGGGCGTGGGCGGTCTGCTTCGGATATTAGGAAACAGGCAGAAGGACCCTAAGCTATTTCTGGGGACTCTTGGTACATGGCTCCACCTGAATAAAATCGTTCATTTTTAGACATGTGGCCTGTGACTCCGGTAGACACATCCTACATTCAACACGCCATTGCAGGGCTATGTTCCACAGGATGTTCTGTGAGAGGAAACAAAAAGGAGAGGAAATGTTTGGATTGATTTTTCAGGTGATTTGTGGGGCAAGTGTTAAAAAAAAATCAATTCTGAGCAGGTTAACGCTGAACGCTGTGGGAGGCGAACGGAGGGGCTCCAAGACGGGCTCTCCCTGGTGTCCGCGTGGGGGGCCAAGGGCCGTGAGTCCCGCGACGCCCACATGCCCTCGGAGCCCAGAGAGCCCTACTGGGTGGCTCGGATCACCGCCGTGGTGCTGGCGCCTTTTCCTGCTGGGGACGGTGGGGCCTCATGGGCCATTTCAGACAGATCAAAACTATACACTAGTCTCTGCTAAGCACAGTGGGACAGGAGAAGCTTCGTAACCTTGGGCAAGTTAGGAGGTTCTGAACCCGCGCTTTCCCAGCTACCAAGCAGATTGAATTACTGCAAAGAGTCACTAGATGGATTAGGAAAAAGGTATACGAGGTGCTTGACAAAGAATATTTAGTGATCTGTAGACCTGATTAGGAAAATAGGTCCAGTTGCTGGGGCCTTTGGCTGAGAAACGAGGCCTCGAGTCAAGTGTGAGTTTGGGGAGAAGACCCCAGATTGTCCCCAAAGAAGCCCCTGTCACTCCCCTGAGGGCACCGGCTGCAGGTGTTCGGAAGCTGCGCGGGCCCGTCTGGGGTCCAAGACAAAGGTCCCGGATGGGAGCAGAGATTTGCAGTGTGTCCTCGGGGTTTGTGTCCAGCGACGGGGTGTGGGCTGATACCCAGGGGAGTGAACAGAAGGAGCCGAAAAGGGGACCAAGGCTCCGCCTGGGACGATGCCCACGTTCAGAGGGTGAGAGAGCCGTGGAGACCCCGCGTGGACGCTCCGGGAAGAAGCGGTGTGATCACGGAGGCAGCAGATCACGTGATGCAGCTCCACGCCAAGGACCGCTGGCCCCCCCGGGAAGCCAGGAGAGAGGACGGCACTCGCTCCGAGCCCCCGGAAGGGACAGCGCCGCTGGCGCCCTGCGTTGGGACACCCGGCCCCCGGGGCTGTCAGAGAACCCGTCTCCGTGGTTTGCAGTCCCCAGCTTGTGGCGATTTGTGCCGGGGGCCAGAGGCTCTGCGACAGACGGACAATGTGCCAGGGGAGGCTTGGCGGCAAAGCCAGACCCCGGAGCTTGGAGAAACAGCAGGCGTCCGAAAGGACGCGTCCCCTGACGGAAGTGTGTGCAGAAGAGAGGAAGCTGAAAACACAGGGTCCTTCGGGCCTGTTCGGAGGTTCTGCCTGTTCCTAAGAACCATGTGTATTCTGGCCTAATGCAGACAGGAAAAGAAACCAACAAAGGGCGGCTTTCTCGGTGCCGTTAATAAGACGAGGAAACCGGCCTCGCCCAGGGAACGCTATGCTTCGCTCTCCTCTCGCAGGCGCTGGGAGAGGCCAAAGTCGTCAGGGGAACAAGCCTCCCATGCGGTGCCTGAGTTTGTCGCGGGGTCCCAATGCTGCCCAAACCGGTTTTATTTCATTAATCTGCTTCTTGGGCCTTTGCTTCTCCTTTACATGCCCTTCTCTTATTAAAAAATATCACAAGGTGTTCTCTCTAGCTCCTGGTTGCATATAACCGAACGGCGTTCGTAGATGAAAATGTGGTTATTATTTTAATATGACCCACTCGAAGAAATGAAAAGTCCAATATACTTTCGAGGAGCCTATTAGTCTGTGCGCCATAAAGGAAAGAGGAAGGATTTACAGGCCTACAAAACACTCAGCGCGGGGCCAGGAAGGTCTAATAGAACCACTTCGATTTTATTAGTTTGTTCCAAGTCAGGTCTTCCTGAACCAAAACATCCACTTGGAGAGTGAAGAACTTATTAAGCCAAGGGGCTTGCTTCAATAATTCAGAATATCTGCATATTTGGGAACAAATAGCCAATTAGCTGATTTTAAAAAGTGCATGTGCTTGGCATTGGAGAGGCTGGCAGACGCTCATCTACGTGACTCAAACAGCCCGCGTGTGATCTAAGTGCAAGAGAAAGTAGAGATATTTTCTTAAGTATTCATTTCGCTCTAAAGGCCCTCGTAGAAGACCGCGCTGCAGAGACGACTGGGGGACGTGCCTGTGTTTTCGAGCGCGTCTGTAACACGCCTGCTGGTTCAGTGTGCTCATGATGCAGATTTGACCATGCGTGTTATTCACCATGGCTCTCTGCCTACAGCCCACGATGCAGCTTGTCATTCTGCGCAGAACACAAACGCTATGCCCTGCGGCTGCCAAAGCAGACGGACCGTTTGCTGCGGGAGAGGCTGTGTGCACACGTGGAGGAGAGAAAACGTGGGCTCTTCGTGTGATGTTGTGAGACGCATGGTCGCGCATCTGGGAACGGCGTCAGGGCGGCGCCGAGGAGCTGCTGAGATCTGCAGGGGCTGTAACCGGAAGGGGGCGCGCTCTCCTGCGAGGCATAACCAGCGGTGGGGGGCGGGGGCGGGTCTCGCAGGTTTCAGAGAAACAAGGCTCTTTGTTTCTTTTGCCGATGGGACCTTGAATTTCTGATGGAAGGCGCAGGTCACTACCCCAAACCTGGAAGTGCAGGGGCAGCCGGGACCAAAACTGCTCTGCTGTAAAAATGTCACTTGTCCTGGACCAATGCACCCACTTTTAGGTTTGGGTTAATGAACAACGTTTTAGGCAAAAGGTGTTAACCTGAAGTAAGATCACTGAAAATAATGCTGACCTGCTGTGTTTTCATCTAAATCCAACCAAACAGTAAGACTGCACATAAAATTCTGTGTGTCTTAACTAATAAATATAATTTAATCCATAATCAGTGAATGGAAGCAAATATCTGAGCTATTTTAATAATCTAACCAGAAGCAGTCCAGGTCCCTCCAGTTATAGGAAAAGTTGACTCAACTTGCAGCAGTTGTAAGAAAGAAAGAAAGAAAGAAACTAGATTGTTTTATTCTACTTACAGTAATATATAGGTATGTATTTTGTATATTAAAGAATAACTCTATAGTCTGTACTCTACTATCTTAAGTATAATTTTCCAATCCTTGAAACATCTTGGCTATACTGTCATTTTACAAAAAGAAAAGATTGAAGCTCAGAGATGCTGAATAACTTATACAAAGAACCTTAAAATTTATATGGACACATAAAATGCTTTTTGTACGCTGCGGCCTCCCAGCCCAGCCTCTCAAACCTGTCTGTTACCTGCTCCTCACAGCGCCCCTCCCCCCAGCTGTCTCTCCCAGCAGCCGCTGAGGGTCCCGGGGCTAAGGAGAGGCATGTTCCATTTCCACAGACCACACAGCCTTCTGGGGAGTTCCTGATGCATCAGGTCTCTATCCCGCAAGGCAGAACATAGAACAATTAAAAAAAAAAATTTATACCGTCTACTGTGTTATGTAACAGCTTCACAGAGATCTGAGGCCATCCTCCGTAACGGAATGCATTAATACTTTTCCAGCATTGTGTGTGTGTGTGTGTGTGTGTGTGTGTGTGTGTATAGATGCTACCACCTCATTAATCTTGTATTTTTCTACAATGATTAACCTGTGAATTGCCGTTCTTACTCTCTCCCTCCCTCCCTCCCTCTCGCGCTCTCTCTCCGCCCCTCTGCCCTTCCCTCTCTTCTTTCTTCTTTACATTCAGGAGTCCACCCTAGCAAATACTCCACACAGGTTCCTGAGAGGCTTTGAAACAAATGGATTCAAGAACGAGAAAGTGACCAGAGACCTGCTCAATGGTGTCCCCTGCCATGGTGCCCGGGTTCTCACCGAGTCCCTGCTTGGCCTCCATGAAGCCAGATTTCAAATGAATCTCTTTATGGGAAAGACAAATCAAGTGAAATGCGTGGGTTTATAAAAGTGGCGGCTGCCCAAACCTCTCGGGACAACTTCCCTCCTCTGCCTCGGGCTCGTTGACGCGTTTATTTCACCAGAGAGTTCTTTAAGGGAGCGTCAGGTTAGCTGTGTCTGCCTCAGAGTGGCCGCATTTATTAAATCAAATGAATGAACGAAATTAAAACTAGCGGAATAGGAGAGATGCTTCAAAATACCAGGTATGAAAAAGGAATGCTTACTTTGCCTGAGAATGATTCAAAAGTTCCACGGTGGGGGCGGCCTGTGAAGTTGCCACTCTCGGCTTCCGCTGGCTGATAACTACCTAAGATGGCAGCCTCTGCCCGGCAGCAGCTGGCCTCCAAGCCTACGTTTTCCAAGGCAAAGGGGACAGACTGAAATTCTCTGCGACACTGAGTGCAGAGGTTAGTTGTTTAAAGTCAAAATATTTTCCAAAATGTTTTCTCGGGCTAGGTATTTCTATGACTGATTGAATGTCTGCTTGAATATTCATGAGCAAAGACAGAGTAAGAAGTCCGCAAGGACTTTTAAGTCCCAGGCGGTTACAAGGGATGGTTGTATCCAAATACAACAACAGGCGTTTTCGATCCTGAAGACAGGAAGAGCCTCTGGCTTTTACACTTGTTCTGGAATCGGAGGCTGGGCCTTCCAGGGCGGTTCCCACCTCCAAACAACGTACACGATTCGCAGTACTTTTCTTCTCAAGTGACTTTGAAAAAGAAGGCATATTTGGTCAAAATCACTCGACCCATACGATAATATCGATCGATAATATTGACATTATGCACTCATGGATTACATACGTGGTCACAATGACATAGATTGTCGTTTTGTTTCTTCTACGACGAGGAAGCAAAGGTAACGTTGTGATTGCGTCTTAAAATAAGTGGTTCTGTTCTGGTTGTTTTAAATGTGGTCGAAGACATTTGAATGCACAATAAGGGAGTTTTCTCCCCTGAGTCAACCAGCTGGTGCTGGCCAGCTTTGTTTTCTGTGGAAGTGCCCTGCACCCCGCTGTTTTGCAATCATTTGCATGGTTCCTTGTAGAAAAAGAAGTTGCAAAGTAGGCCCAGTTTGTCTCCATTGTTTTTCTCCTTTTTCTCCTCTCTGAGCAGCACCTCCCGCCCCCCGCCACCCCACAGGCCACCCAAGGGCTCTTTCCTTTTGTTTTCGGCGCCCACGTTGCCGATGCTCAGTGTTTCCTCAAGAAAGGAAAAGGGTCACCCTGAGGCCCCCACCCCATTGGACTAAAGGTGCCTCTGTCCTAACGGATCCTGTCCCCCCACTTGCTGCAACAGCGACATGAGCCACAGCTTAACCCGTGGCCTCTATCTTGCTGGGCCGTGACTCTAAGCAGGAGGGGGAAAGCGGATGTCGGATCTAAGTGGGACTGAGTCATCGGATGAAGCGGGGCAGTGGGAAGAGCACAGGTGTTGGCCCGGGGCCACCTGGATTCCAGTTGCGGATTCGTGACGTAAGATTAATCATAGAAATGGCGCGCATTTCCGGGAGCGCGGTCTTTAAGATCTTGGCTTGGAAGTCAGACCCCATTCAGACCCTGCCCCTACCGTGGACCCTGTGTGTGGACTTGGGCAACCTGCGTAATTTCTCTCAGCGTCCCCTCCCCCTTTTGTAAAAAAGGTTCACAGGAGGATTAAATAAGACAAGCATGGAGCATGGTGCCTGGCACAACATTGTCTATTTTTGTATAAAACTTAAGGCCTTGTGCAAATGAGGGCCTCTCAGTTGCTACATCCATGCAATGGAAATAATAGTAATTCCTGATTTGTATGGTTTTTGTGAAGATCAAAGGAAATAGGAAGGGGGTTGCCGTGTATGGAGAAAGTTCTGCGAGTAAGAACCCAGGTGCGTGACTAAATAAACAGCAAGTGAGAAAATGAGAATCAAATGGGAATATTTTAAAAGCTTGGAAATTCCAGGTCATCCAGAACAGGACGAGCGGGAGCTACGAACCGAGTTACCACACAGAAGCAGGCACGGGGGCCAGCGGCACGTCCTTGACCGGCTCTCTTCCCCTGCCCAGCCAGCAGGCTCAGTCTGGACACCGCCTGCGCCTCCGCCATGTCACATCGCTGTGACACTGAGTCGTGGAGCTTTAGGGAAGTGGCAGGGACAGGGCAAGCCCCCGTCTCTGTGACTTCCACACCCGTGATCATTTCACAGCCCTTCAGGAGGGTCGGAGTTAGGGACCTTTGTCCCTATTACACAACGGGGAGCATGGGACTGGCCACAGTCCTGCAGGAAGAGAGTCCAGACCAGGGTGGGAGCCGGGCCAGCCTGCTGCCGGGGCTCAGGCTCTCCCCACTGTCCTCCCGCCGCCCCGTCCCCTTGGCGACGGGGTCCCCCACAGGCGCACAGGAGGGACACTCACTCTTCTTGGCCTCCTCTAGCTTGTCCTTGGCTCTTTTTTCTGCCTGAAGAAGCTGGTGGATCCCCTGGGACTGGCTGGTCATGTTGGTGCCCTTCACGTCAAGTGGCTTCTGTGAACTCTGGGAAGGGACAGCTCTGTTTATCCTTATGGAACCCACGACGCACCTCAGTTTGTGGTGTCAACAGTGAGTTCTGCACACAGCTGTGTGTTCCCAAATGGCCTGGTAGACCAGAGAGCCGGGCCCCAAGGAGAGCCCAAGGGTGGAATCCAGACAAACAAGTTAAGTCCATGCAAGGGAGCCAAGAGTCTATCATTTTTGGCAACGTCAGTTCTTCTATAGGATATAAGGGTACTTTCCTGAAGGGCAGAGTCTACTTATTAACTATGATGAAGAATCACCCCTCTTCTTTCAAGAAATAGCGACCTGCTCCCTGAACACTGATCTTTTCTTTTAAGTCACAAGATTTTCCTTTGTTCTTAGTCTGTGTAGTTCTAGTCTTAGAGCTTTCTCTTTGTTTCTAGTAATTCAGTTATTACTTGGGACAAATTGGTTCACCATTTGCCAGGAAGGAGATTTCCTGGCTTTGTGCGCAGGGAGGGGCTGGGGAGTGTCTCCTTCCTCCCGAGAGCTCAGGGGGTAGGCATGAGCCAGCTCGGGCGTGGCCTGGCTCTCCAAGTGCGCGGTAGACTCGGCCCCGGCCCCGAGGAGGCTTGAGTGTGGCGACCGAATCAGCAGAAACGGAACTCGTAACTGTGGGCTGCGAGGATAAACTAGAATCATCTGAACACACGCTTGGTATTACTCAGTGCTTGCCTTAGGTGCCGTTGGAAGATGATACCGAGCAGGCCATCCTACTCAATCTGGTTTGATTCCGTAGTGAGAGGTCAAATAATGACGTGGGTCATCTTGAAGAATTATCAAACATTATTCATATGTGTCAAAAATTTTTATTTGCAATGAAAAGCTAATCTTTTGACTTATGGCCAAGACATTGCTTTCCCTGAAATGATCTGCAGATTGGATTTTCATGCATTGTTCTTTCCTATACTACACCTTGTTGCCTCACCCTAGAGAAACTAGCTTCAGTTTCTCTAAATCAGTGTGCGGGTTTAAAGATAATTCTAAAGCAGCCCGAGAGCTATGCTTTTAAAGGCTTTAATGATAATTTCCCCTAATTGTTTAGAGCTGTCTTATTGTCCACACCCATATAACATTGTATGCACACAACCTTTAGCAAATATTTCTAAAAGGAACAGCCTTTTTTCTCCCCCAAAAAACATTTTTTTCTATCTTTTCTCATTACCATTGAATCAGTTGATAAAATTTAATTTTTATTACATCATTACAGTAATTGGTACAGCTGGAGCAGACAGATACAGCTCTTGGTAAATACACATTTTAACTTGTAAGAAGAGCAGACGTGAAGGTGAACTGGAGAGAGGTCCTTCAAGCTCAAGTGCAGCCTGTCTTAGGCCTTGGTTCGTACTTTCTCACTGAGTCAGAGGACAGCACCCGTGCTCTCTGGACGGTTCAGTGGAGATCGGTGGGAAACACTTGCTTCACCCTCCTGCCAGCAGTACTTAGGGAACCCCTCCTGCATGCGTTCGCCTGAACGAGGCTCCACCGTGCACCAGAGCGGGAGCCCGGGGAGCGGGTCGCCGGAGGGGACCGGGGTGGGAGGGCCTCTGCGGCAGGCTGTCGGTTACGAGCAGGGGGATATCGGCTGGCCGCTGCCAGGTGTCTGCGACTTGCTGTGAACTTATCAGCGGCAGGACATTTTGACCCTGTTTTCTTTGAGATCTCCCACTTGCTTTTTAATACGAAAACAGAGGATTAAATAAATCAAGGTAAATCTCTAGATTTATTTAACTGAAGAGATTTTCCTACCATCTAGAAATGAAACCCAACAATAGAGTCTTCTTCACTGGAATGGCATACATCATTTTTGGTTTCTGTTTTGATGGTGTTAATGTCGATAATTTTTGTGTCAACATGTAAGAAAAATAATCAGCTGATTCTAATACTTATATAGTGTTGTCATGATTACTTATTATAATTTCCAGTGATAAATTAAATATTCACTTATACAGTTTGATGAAAATTCCGAGGAGTACAAGGGATTTGGTTTGTCAGATGAGGTAGAGGAGTGGTCCTATTATAGTAACTGTAAAAAAGGAAGTGTTGGAATCAGTGTAGTGTGTATTTAGGTCCCTGCTCTTTGAGTTTCTTTTCTAAATACTTTCATATTTCCTTTTCATGACTGCAAAATCCTCCCGAAAAGTTACTAAAAGTGACAAATCTTAAAAACAAAATCGGTGCTTTTCAGAAAAGATCCAAGTGTTGAATGCCAAGAGATTATACAGAAGCGCCTCTGATTTTTGCTGGTACTTAACTTGAACAAAATGTAACGTTGGCTGTTTTGAATAGCTATAATTATCAATTCAGCCTGGGCTCAGGGCATACTTTTTTGGTTTCTCTTTTTTGAAGTTTCGTTTCTCCTCAGACTTCCTCTTCTCATTCATTCCGTCATCACCTCTGCTTGGTGCTGATCACCCTCCGGTTCTTCCTCTTTTGCCCGAAGGAGCGGGCTCAGCCCTGGAATCTGCACGACAATGACTAGGACAGCAGGTCATGGCTTCCTGGAGACCTGGCGCTTCTAGGTGTTTTGAAGCGCCGACCACGACTCTTCCCTGCTTTGTTGTCTGCGTCCCTCGGTGCAGGGAAATGGCCCCCTGGGGCCTGCCTCTCCTCCTCGGCATTTCTCCGCCCCTCTCTCCATCCAGCCGGTCACCATGGCATCCCTTTTCTCTCCAATGCCAGGAGCCTTCCTCCTTCTGCCTGGACAATGGCCGCCTGTCCAAAGGCTGGGGCTTCCCCCCCCCCCCCCCCCCGCCCCCCCGGTCCGCCTGGGCCCACCACCCGTCCGCCGTGTGCTCGCCGGCAGGTCGGGCCGCCCGAGCCCGCGCCCTCCTTCACTCAGGCGTTGTGAGCGCTTAGAGCGTCAGGATGGCGCTGCGTTCTCTGGAGCAGGGCTTTGCACAGAGGGGGCACCAAACATTTTTAAAAAATTACGACGACACTTTCAGATGAAGTATACAGCAAAGAGCTCCGCTTGCTGTGAGACGCTTCAGTGGGGATTCCGCTGGATCTCCCCCCGTCGTTTGGGGGAGCAGGGCTTCGTGCATCCAAGGAGCAAGCGTGTATTTAGCGCAACCATCGTGAAGAAAAGGTAATGAAGGCGAAATGTTTTCACTGAAGACGGTCGTCGCTCCAGGCTGAGAGAAAACAGTCCTGGCTCTGGCGACGTTGTGCAGGATTGTTTCCCAGGCGGTTGTTTTTGTTGTCTGCTCCCAGGATGAGATTCGGCGGACCTTTCGCCTTCCATTTTCGTTTTCCTGAAGAATGTCGCATCGTCCTCCTGTCTTTTGTTCGGTGCCTGTAAAACCTGACACTCAGTTACACATTCGGCACAGTGTCCCGGAGACCCGCGCTGTGGCCGCCGGTGACCACCGGGCAAGGCTTCCCGCCCCTGCCTTCCACGCGGGGTCGCAGAGGGCTCCCTGTGATAGAGGGGGGCGCGTGGGGACCGCGGGCGCAGGTCCAAACGGCGAAGGGACACTGGGCTGGGCGAGTGAGAACAGGTGCCCTTTGGACGGCAGCATTTCCTCACTCCTTCCCGTAGTGACAGAACGCTGCCACTGGAGACCTCCATTCTGTGTTTCCTCCTCAGCATTTAACTGCTTCCCCCCAGCTGGGGAAGATGCGGTTGCCTCTTGGGACGGACTCTGCAGAAAGCCTGGGTAGTTCTAGCCTGAGGAAGTTGTCCTGAGGTCCTTGTGTGATTGCTCGGTCCCCTCTCCTCCCTGTTCTGTGACATCTTGGTACAGTAGGTTCCCCTCAGTTACGTATGTGGGTGTTCATTCAAAAGGATGGAAGACAAGTCCTCAGCGCCCCCATGCCCTGAGAGGCCGCCTGTCCACTCTGTCACCCTGGCCGAGCCGCCGGAGGGCTCCCGCCCCCCACCTGGGAGGACACCAACATCCTTGATTTTCCTGCTCCCCGTCTCGCTGCTCCTGCCCACCCACCTTCGGGTTCCTTCCCACTTTCCTTCTGTGTGAATTGTGGAGTGGCCCAGGATCCAGCCTTCGGGCCACTTCCCATTTGTATCTGCGGTCACTTCCTGGGTGTTTCCGGCCACGTTAGGATGGAGGGTGACTTAGCACGGGGGCCCAAAGCCCGTGAGTCTGGGGCCAAACGCCTGTCACTGACGGGTTGGGTGACCTTGGACAGGCTGTTTAACCTCATCTGTAAGATGCCGCGGATGGAATGGTGCCTGAGTCATGAGTATTCATGCAGATTAAATTGGATCGCGTGTGAAAAACACATGTCATGGAGTGAATGCTCCGTAAATGCTGGCGAGTACTGTCAGCCTTTGGGCAAAGCAGAGATCATTCCCCAAAATAGCGTGGGACCCACTTAACATTCACACACACCAGGAAGTGCAGCGGATTCTTCTAGTTCCCCTCTGAGCTATGTGGGCTCTTCCTCCTGTTTCAACACCATGGACTCTGGGCTCATTTGTTCGATGTTTGTTCTGCAGAAGAACATTCCAGTGACCGTGTTCCCGTTAAACACCCTGTGTGTTCGCATTGACCAGGAGACTGAGTCATCGGCACTTCATGCAGCCCGGGAGGAAAACCTCCCGAAGCGGCAGCTTAGCTGCAAGCTCGGAGTCATGCTGAGCGTTCAGGCCCGTGACCTCTCTCACTGGGCAAACCCGCCATATCACCCGTGCGGGGCCGCTTGCTGGGAAAGAGCCGTGTTTCTTGAGGGTTTGATCAGGGACTCATTGTTGCGGGCCGTCACGGTGTCATGGGGCCCATGTGGGACTGGGGTTTGCCCTGCCCCTTTTTCTAGCTGTGTGGTCTCCGGAGTGTTGCTTTCCTTGGCTGAGTCTCTGTTGATTCTTCTTTAAATGGTTAGGCAGTTAACCCTCGAACAACGCAGGGGTTAGGGGCGCTGACCCTCGCTTAGTCAAAATTCTGCATATAACTTTCGACTCCCCAAACACTCAACTCCTGAGAGCTTACTGTTGACAGAAGCCTACAGTCCATTCATACCTATTTTGTGTGTCCCATGTATCGTATACATATGCGTGCAAGAAATAAGCTAGAGAAAATAAAGTGCTATTAAGAAGATC